AATAGCTAGTTAAAAATTTATTTTAAATTGCATCAAATTGTCACATTTCTCTTTCTTTGTATTTTCATTTAACTTTAATTCCAAAAATTAAGTACTTGTAATTATATTATATTATATTTTAAAATGCTTGTAATCAGACTACAGTTACTTTTTTAATGTTTTTATCTAATTCTTCTTTTTCATCTTTAAGTTTTTTAATTTAAATTTTAGCAGTGAAATGAGACATCATCATAGCTTCATAAATGTAGAGTCATATGTGCTACATTGTGGTCTTCATCATATGTTATTGGCTTATGCATGGTTTTATAGAGACTTGTGCATGCTTTAATTTTAGTATAACTTATCAAGGAGACACACACTAGGTTCATAAAACAATTTCTTTTTTTCCCCCTGAAATCAGCTAACTCTATCAAAAAGCAGTGACATGTACATTTCAGAGCCGCAAGTACGATGCACTGACCCACCTGCTCATTAAGACTGTTTGAAAATGCCACCTAGCCAATTCTGACTTTTTGCAAGAATTGAAAAGAAAAGTCAGAATTGTACGATACAAACTCACAGTTACCTTTAAAAAATAGTTAAAAAATAAAACATTCAATCTTAAAATGTATTAGTAAATGTTGAGAAAAATGTTTTGCTGTAGAAGTACTGCTCAGTGTCAGTCCTTATTAGTAGTTTACTAATGATAGCAAATGAAACTTTACTTTAAAATGTATTTTAACTAGTACTTTAAACTAGTCACTAGTGTTAGCTAGAGATGTGTGGTGGGAGTTCTGGCGCAATATGGCTGCCGTAGCATCATCCAGGTGGAGATTCCTCCTTCCATGTAAAGCGCTTTGAGTACCCAGAAAAGCGCTATAATGTAACAAATGATTATTATAGTATTTAACTATTTTAAGTTTATGTATAAATATAGTGTGCATGTAAATTATAATAGGCTATAAACATTATAGTATTAATTACTTTTTTATAGTGTAAGATAAATTATGTTCCATAAAACCGTGTAAACATCAATTGGAGCTGGAACATGAATTTAAATTGGACTGAAATAAAGCTCAAACCCAGAGAGGGACTCTGCCTCTTCATTTCAGAAGTCTCCCACACATCACTGCTACACACAGTCCAAAGTCTTTGACCTTTGGGAGCATCCCACTGTCCTTACACCTGCCAAATTCATCACGCCTATCAGTGGAAGCTCTCGGTGAGATTGGCCATTTCTAGCAGAGATGAGAGATGAGGATGGCACGGCAACAAAAGCCTCCATGCTGGATGAACAACCCCCAACCGCAGAGCTACAGCATGTCAGTCCAAATAGGAATCAGAGCCATGAGAAACCCTCTTTGGAACAGCAAGAGACACCAAAGAGCTAATGCTGCTTTGTTAAACTTGCGGCTTAATGTTTTGTGCAGGCTGTTAGTGTGTAGCAGAGATATATTTTCCATGATCTCGTCCATTATTCAGTTTGTGTGCGAGCTATCGCACAAAGACCTCCGTTCTCCAGGGTTTTTTTGGTTCATTTCACAATGCCCTAGGTTCATAAAACAATTTCTTTTTTTCCCCCTGAAATCAGCTAACTCTATCAAAAAGCAGTGACATGTACATTTCAGAGCCGCAAGTACGATGCACTGACCCACCTGCTCATTAAGACTGTTTGAAAATGCCACCTAGCCAGTGAGCTAATATAGATTATTCCCTCTCACTATTTGCATAGTCAGATACAGCGCTGTATTAACTGAGGACTCCAGCGAGCAGTGAGCTACTGTATTCTTCCATTTCAGAGGGTAATGGACCAGAACATTAGCATCACAAGCTCATTTACAGACTACAGACGGCCCCAGAAGAACGCCTCAGATGGACAGAAACATCATTAAGTCCCCAAAACACATAAACTGCATTCATTACCTCAAAAATACACATGCATGGAAAATGTGCTGTGTTGTGTTCATTAATAATCATATATGGGCTAAAGATGCAGTGAACTGACACAGTAAATCATGCCCCCTGACCCGAATATACATTTAGTAAAAAAAAAAGTTGTACAGAATTTAATGATTGTGGATCCATAAATGATTCTTTTGAGGAAAAAGGAAAATTTGGACAAAAGAAATGCAATTCCATTGCCAAATAATGCAATACATTTATCTCAATAATAAACGTACAATTCTAAGGAATTATTCTTTTTGGTCCTACATAAATTCAATCCAATGCATGACAAATTAACAAATTGGCTATATATTAAATAACAATATTGAAAATAAATAGAAAAATTTATTAACAAACCCTATTAAAAATGAAGAAATGTGATGTGACTGGTTTGAATAAATAGTATTTGGTAACACTTTACAATAATTAGTTAATGCACATTAACAATGAGCAATATATAACATTATTACCCTTTGTTAATCTTAGTTAAAATTGTTTATGTTCACATTGCTCAACAGTGCATTAACCAATGTTAACTATGGAAGCTTGTTTTAGCCACAAGAATAAATAAAAAAATAAGTAAAAAAGGTAATTGCAACTTTTTATATCACAATTCTTAATTTTTTTTTCCTGGCAATTGCAAGTTCGTATCTCACAGTTCCGGCTTTTCTTCTATTTTTTCAGAATTGCAATTACCTTTTTCTGTAAAAATGAATTGCAAGAGTGTAAGAACTTAGAATCGAGAGGAAAAAATAAAAACTCAGAATTGTGATACGAAAAATTGGTCAGTTTATACCTTGCAATTCTGACTTTTTGCAAGAATTGAAAAGAAAAGTCAGAATTGTACGATACAAACTCACAGTTACCTTTAAAAAATAGTTAAAAAATAAAACATTCAATCTTAAAATCCCCAACCGCAGAGCTACAGCATGTCAGTCCAAATAGGAATCAGAGCCATGAGAAACACTCTTTCAAACAGCGAGAGACACCAAAGACCTAATGCCGCATTGTTAAACTTGCGGCTTAATGTTTTGTGCAGGCTGTTAGTGTGTAGCGCAGATATTAGTGTGTGGATCCATTATTCAGTTTGTGCACCTCCGCTCTCCAGGGTTTTTTTGGTTCATTTCACAATGCCCTGGATACGGTCTGGGGCTAAATGTGGGCTGCAGCTGATATCGGAGCTTCCAAGAAAAGCCTTTGAATAAATGCCTATTTACCCCACTTTCAAGATGACATAGGATTAGCCCTGCTTCCTAAACCCTCTCTAGGAATGATGGGACGCACACATGCACTGTATATTAGATACATGCTCTCAAACGATAATGCTGAAATCCTGTTTATTCATGAATTTCCTAAAAGGAAGCCGTGTAAGGAAGGGTTTGTTCATTAGATTCTGATATAATAATGTCATAATGACAGAGAAACAAGCTGAGAAAAACTGAGGCAGGTGCTTCTGAGAGGGTCGTGAAACCTCAAACCTCTAGATTATACAAATATTGATTTTCATATTCAACACTGACTTCTGTTCACCGAGAGTTGGACGCTCTAAAATGCCACGCTCTTTCTCTACCACACGTCTCTTGAGACGCAACCTTCAATCCTATGCGCAAGTCGATCTAAGCTGTTTCGCTAACTTCCACTGACTTGGCCACTGAATTAGACCACATTCCCTTAAAAATGCATCCTCTGAACCGGTCGGCAAAACCGAATGCTCAAAATGACTGACATGCAGAGACCGATTGGCTAAACAACAGCATCACGCAGTCTCATTTTTTGACAGGTGTGATATCTCAGGACAATAATTTTGGTGTGTGATATTTCAGAAGAAAATCACAACACCTTTGACTGCACATTAAAGTTTCTATCATTTTGAGACTACAGGAGCAGTCTTTACACCCATCTCTGCTGTTATACAATTCATTTTCTGTGATATCTCCTGTGCTTTAAAATGCTCATTTTAGTTTATGTACAATGACAGCTGAATGGCTTATTCAAAGTCACTGGGTCACATCATGCTTTTACAGGTATTAATTCAGAGATGTCCTTCCAAACAAGTTTGTGCTTTTTAATTTTTTAAAGTGCCTCCCAAGTCTAGAATGATATTTTTCATAATCTTCAATACAATTTTACATTACGAGGTCTGAGACAATGTCCTCAGGCAGACCATAGAAACGAAACACATGATTGCACAGTAATTCAGCATGCTTTGGAAAATCGGTCTATAATCGTCAGTATAGTGGTATTACCTTGTGAGTTGGGTAGGTCGGTGATGAAGTCAATGGCGATGTGAGACCAAGGGCGTTGTGGCGTGGGCAATGGTTGTAACAGGCCTGCTGGTAGTTGTCTGGGTGATTTAGAAGTGTTGCAGGTAATGCAGTTTCGGACGAATTTGGTGGTGTCAGATAACAAAGTGGGCTCGTAGTGATTCAGGAACATAGGTGAGATTGGGAGGGCTTTCAGGCGGTGGCGGATTCTGGAGATTCAAGTTGTTTGCTTCGGTCATGATGTCCCACTGTACGGGTGCGATGAGGAGGTTCTCAGGAATTATACTTTCATTGACGTCTGAGCAGCACGTCTCCTCCGCTTGACGCGAGAGAGCGTCGGCCTTGATATTCTTGGTGCCGGGTCTGTATGATACAGTAAACTGAAATCTAGTAAAGAATAACGCCCACCTTGCCTGTCTGGGGGTCAATCGTTTGGCCGAGCGTAGGTATTCAAGGTTTTTGTGATCGGTGAGGACTACAAACGAGTGTGAGGCTCCCTCCAGCCAGTGGCGCCATTCCTCTAATGCTAATTTCATGGCTAGGAGTTCACGGTTGCCCACATCGTAATTCCGTTCCGCGGTGGTTAGCTTGCGTGAGAAGGCGCAAGGGTACATCTTTGCTGGTGATCCGTGACGTTGGGACAGTATCGCACCTACCCCAGTGTTAGAGGCACCCCTCCTGGCTGATCACATACCCCAGAAAAGTTGTGCTTCTTTGATGGAACTCGCATTTCTCCGCTTTAACGTAGAGTTGATACTGAACGAGGCGCATTAATACAGATCTGACATGATGAATGTGTTGTTCCAGGGAATTTTAATAGATCAGGATGTCGTCGATGTACACGATCACCCATCTGTTGAGCATGTCCCGAAACACATCATTCATGAAGGATTGGAAGATCGAGGGACTGTTTGCCAGGCCGAAGGGCATAACCCGGTATTCGTAGTGCCCACTAGTGGTGGAGAATGCCGTTTTCCATTCGTCCCCCTCTCGAATGCGGATTAAGTTGTAAGCATTGCGTAGATCCAACTTGGTGTAGTATTTGGCCTGGCGGAGCTGTTCTAGCGCTGCAGGAACCAGTGGTAGAGGATAACGAAACTTAACAGTAATGTCATTAAGGCCACGGTAATCAATGCAGGGCCGCAACCCTCCGTCCTTTTTCTTTACAAAGAAGAACCCCGCCGAGGCAGGAGACGTTGAGGGTAGAATGAATCCTTTGACCAGTTCCTCCTCGATATAGGCTTTCATAGCTTCTGATTCAGGCTGTGATAGTGGAAAGATCCTCCCCTTTGGAGGGGTGGCGCCGGGTATCAGATCTATGGTGCAATCGACGGATCGGTGGGTTGGGAGTTGTAAAGCTTTCCTTTTACTGAAGGCTTCGGCTAGATCGGCATATTCGGAGGACAGGTTTAATTCGTCGGGGGTTTGAACAGATGGAACCGAATCCTGGAGGGGTGACCGTGTGAT